TATATATATATATAGATATATGAAATCACTTTCTGCTTTTCATGGTGCCTGACAGTTTTACTTCAACTCTCTGCACGACATTGAACATATATGTATGTATCTGTATATGTGTGTATATGTATGTATATTTATATTTTTTTCAAGTTTCAGTTCTGATTTATCTTTTTTAGTGTGCTCTGTTAGTACTAAGTTATGTTATAGTTAGTTTTTTAATTATTGTTTTTTCCCTGCTATAAACATTGTATGTTTCTTGGGAAAATAAACTGTTATTATTATTGATATGATGATTCTATTTATATCGCATTTTGGTGAGTGATAAAAATATTGTTACTGAAAGACTACAGTTTACAGATTTATTGAAAAGTACACATTCCACAATTTCTATATGTAGAGTAACTTCGCTTTTTTTTTCAATTTGAAGCGATTATTACTGTTAGAACTGAATCTCCTTACCTTGTGTCCCGACCAAGATCAGAGGAATCTCTGCAGCATTCCTGTAATGCGACATCTTAGTGTAGTAATTGAAGATGGCGTTGAACGAAGATTCGTTTTCGAGACTGAAGACGAATATGACAGCATCGACCCAGGCGGTGAACTGAAAAAATAAAGAAATGTTCGATATTACAAAGCTACACCGAATGCCGTCGTCATCGCTATTGAAGTAACCTTAACAGTCTGCAAGTCGAAAATCGTCTAACAAAACAACTTTCACGGCGACAGGCACCGTGCAAGTTCCTTGAGACGGAAAAAGAAATTGAAGAGAATTAATTAATTTTTTGAAATCGATGAATCCTAGAAGATGAGAGTACTTGAATATGTAAAGTCTGAGGCGGTGTTGCAATTATTATGCGTCAAATGTGATCGCAGAATTACAGAATGTTACAATGCATACCTGAGGATGTAAAAGTCCCACTTTCGTCAACTTCTCTACGGGATAAGATACTGTTACAAAGCAAACCTATTCAGGAAATAAAGGAACAAAAAAGTTTTTGGCCTACGAATTCATGTCACGAAAATCCACTTATGTCTAGTTGTTTTGTGATACACAGCGTGTGGAAAACTACCAATAGAAAGTGTGTGAGGACTTACGCTAAGAGCACAGTAAAGGCTATCCGAGAAAACCAATATTCTCTTCAATCCGGGAGTAGGCGGCCTATGAGAGTGAATCGGTCCTATGACTAGCCGCTTACCGAAGGTAGTATATTTCGGGTTCAAAGTCTCGGCCCTCAAGACTCTCATTAGAATAACCCTGTGTTATTCGACCAGACAACGAATACATTTGATATCGAAGTCGAGTTACCCCACATACATATGCCATGTCTCAGTCTGGAAGCTACTTAAGCATGGTATAGTGTCAAAAGTTGCTGATCTGTCAAGATATCTGGAAACTCCCCTAAGCTAACGCTAGCAGTTTTAATCTTCCTCTTTGAAGATGATCACTTGGTGATCGAAACACGTGTCGAGGTATTAAAAATAACGATTTGGTGTTGGAAAAAAACTCCAGTAATATTCAACGCTATTTATGCTATACAGGTATACCATATAGGTAAACCATACAGGTATACCACCCATACAGGTATACCACACCTAAATTAATTTTACAATTTGCCTTTTCTATTATTTACAATATGTCCTTATGTAATGTTATAGCTACATATAAAACAATTTTCAGCTATATAAGGCAGCTAGATAAGGCAAATTGTATAATTAATTTAGGTGTGGTATACATGTATGGGCGGTATACCTGTATAGCATAAATAGCGTTAGCTTAGGGAAGTTTCCAGTTTAATCTTCCTCTTGAAGATGATCACTTGGTGATCGAAACACGTGTTGAAAATAACGACTTGGTGTTGGAAAAAAACTTCAGTAATATTCAAAACTGTTCAGTATTGAAAAGATAATAAAATGTTTATATATTTTTTAGAATATGAAATATAAAATATAACATAATTTCAGTAGAAAAACAATTTTGGAAATACCAGACCACATTTCTGATTACTATTATCGAGTTTGACGTATGATTCTTGTGGAGCGTATAATGGCATTTTTGGGTTAGAATGAAGATTCTTATTTATGAAATTGTGGAAGATTTTACCCACGATATTTGGCCAAAAATAAGCTCAAACATTCAAATTTGACTNTTCCGAGACAACCAAAATACTCTTCAATCCGGGAGTAGGCGGCCTATGAGAGTGAATCGGCCCTATGACTAGCCGCTTACCGAAGGTAGTATATTTCGGGTTCAAAGTCTCGGCCCTCAAGACTCTCATTAGAATAACCCTGTGTTATTCGACCAGACTTAACGGTTGGGACCTCAACACCATCGATCATTCTTTTCCATCCTGCGAGCAACTCTTAGAACCGGGGTTAGCTCAACGAGTTAGGTCCTTGATTTTTCAATAAGTTCAGTTCCACAGAGCTAGGTCTTGGTTAGGCTACGGAAATATAGCTTTGTGAAAGCTGATGAGACTGAGTCAAACCGTGAATTCTTCCTTCCAGTCAAGCCCTATAGAAGTCACAAAACATTTGTACGGAATGCAGACTAGGGCTAACGATCAGACAACCTTAATTTCAAGATGCTCAGGAACACTAAGGCGTCTTCGTGAGTGGGCCAACGAACATACCCAGTTGGAACCGGAGTACTACGTTCCCCAGTCGTAACTCGCCTTCTAAGGAAGTGCGATTCCCAAAACTCAATAAATGGAGCCTCTGAACCCATCGGTTTTTTTCCACTGGTCCCGATGGGACGTAACCTGGAAAATGTTCCTTCGCTCAACATTCGCTTAGCTAGCAACATTGCAGAACAAATGCCTGGCAGGTCGACACTCCAGAATGTAACTTTTTTGTGAAACGAGATAAAGACTCGAATACTAGCGGAATTGCGCGAAGGAACTTTAGGATACACTCCAATGAAGCAGTGCACTTATAAAGCTCTCAGGATAGTATCATTGCACTGGGAGCCGTAAGTAATCCGCAATAGCTGACGAACACTCCATAGACCGGAGGTGTTAGTCAGAGCCCACACAGTCTCGATTCCCAACATACAACGTATATCAGTTTTGATTGAAAACCATAAACTTCAGCAGAGAACAGAAAATAGATTTTCACGACAAATGCAGTCAGTCGCCGCAAAAATAATAATAGACTCTGAAGGTGCTATTCCATATAGCCGAGAAAGTAGACCTTGAGAGTTTCACCGCGATTATATTTACAGCCACTATTAACACAACGGCACAACGCTCCCAGGAGGCAACTCCCAGAAGTCCTCGAGAGGTAGACCTCCTCCGGGTAGAAGTGGTCCAGGTCTACTGAAAAAGAACTAAAACCCTTACGAAGAAGCAGGGTGTGGTGGAAGCACAAGGCGGGTGGCTCGAGGTCGGAGACCTGGAGGAACCTTCATGACCTTCAGGCCAGTTCTGCACAGAGCGAGGTTACGAACCGCTGCCAAGCAGGTACTAACTGCTGCACCTACATACGGACTGTCTCGAAATCCCTGAGGCTCAGGTGTGGGCGGTCAGTAGGGCAAAGCAGAGGGTACGATCAAGTACGGACAAGTCGAGCTGAGCGTAGGGGCATGAATGGTAAGAAAGAAAATCCTATATCTAGTCATGATGCCCGTAACGCGTGTCCAGAAGCTATTGAAGACCGATATTTGTGACTTGGCGACCAAAACGTAGTTATCAATCATTTTAGTAGTTTTTGATAAATCTCCCGTCACCGAGATAGCGCTATCATCACCTGAGAAGAGTTTGTAATAAAATTTATTTTTATTCACAATAACTGAATAGAACCTGACTTATTCAAAATGCTATTTTTAAATTCAAGAAGATTCTAAATTGGTTTATAAAATCCTCAGCTACTATTGGTGATTACCACCTTTCGTAACAATTCATTGAACGAATTAAAATCAGTATACTAACTCATTTTCAAAAATAACACTTCGAGAGACCAATCGGCAAACCTTAATCGTCTTAATGATGTAATTTACAATGGATATTTCAAAATGAATAGACATTATTATTATCACACAACTTACCGTTATGTCAGTATATTATTGGTTTAAAATAATTGAAATAAGCAACTTCAATAAAACTTAACAAAACTTACAGGTCTAACATTTTTCGAAGAAGATAAAAATCACATCCAATTTCTGTCACAACAATAAAAGAAGACGGCTAGTCGTAAGCAACTCGTATAGCAAAAAGCTTGAACTGACGTCGGGAACAACTGGAAAATAACCCCGATGCTCGACAAAAGCTCTTTCACACAGCGCCGTTTTGGCCAAGCAGTGGCGTAGGCAAAAATAAAAAATATATGACAGAAGTGTATTTTTACGGACAAAATTTGGGGAAAAAGTCTTGCTCATTCCACTATAAGTATTTATAGGACACTTCCACAAAATAAATCAATGAATAACAATATACACTATGGAGCAATATGTTAATTCATTCACAAGATTTTCGGAAACTCGAAAAAAAATACTCGTCATGAAACAACTGAGGGTTCTTACACATAAGTCAACTTTTAGTAATTTGTTTATCAAAAGTTTTTAGAAGTTGGTGAGACAGGTATCGGTCATAGAAAACTCTTCACGAAGTTATAAGTGAAATCGTATTAATGTTAAATTGGATTCGTCTAAATTATCTAATGTTTTTTGAACCATTTTCAATTTTGTATATCACAATGAAGAATATGAATGCCAAAAAGCGCTTTCAAAACATGCATATTTGCATAAAACATGTTTCATACCGGTAAGTGCAAAACATTAAATTGTTCATTCATTTTCTTTAGTCTTATTCACCCTGAGGAATTACAAAAACGCCAAAATACAGAAGGTATTTCTTAAGATCTTGCATAAAATCTCAAATAATTTCTGTTGAAAACATACTAAAACCATAGTTCCCTTTGTAAAGTGAAAGTTGACAACATTCCTATAGGCCACCCAATTATAAATAGTTTTGGACTACAAGGATCTATATAACTTCATTATTTTTGTGTTTGATCGATATTTTGGATTCGCCTCAATTTTAGGCACTATATTTCTGATAACTTCCTCAACATAAACAGTGCCACTAACACAGCTGATACATTTTTGTAGACAAGTTTTTTATCAATATCGTTAGCTAGTTGGTGTCAGTAAGAGACGAACTGTACTGCCAATTTGTTCCTAACAGTGTAGATCCTTCGACTTTGAGTTTTAATCAGGAATCAATGATTTCCAAGTTTAAATTAGTAGGGAATTACCGCTGATTTAAACATGGTCCCTTAGAAGAGAGTAAGCAATGGATTGTTTAGAATGGGCAAGGGCATTTGAATAGAGAAGTTCATACTTGTGATGCATTGTTTGATCTTCCTCTTGAAGATGATCAATTGGTGATCGAAACATGTATCGAGGTGTTGAAATAAAGGTTTGGTGTTGGGAAAAAACTCCAGTAGGTAATATTCAAGTTCATAATGAATTTCATTACGTCAAACACCTTCGAACAAACATTAAAGTTCATAGTTTTCATTCCACACTTCGCCTATGCCAAACTATCAGAGCATCCAAAAACCTAGTGACATATACCAACTTCAAGTATTTTAGAAATATTTATT